TAGAATTTGGGGTTCATCTTCATATGGCTCTTCATTCCATGTGTCCATAAAGGGAGATATAGTCCTTCAAATAACCTGGGCCCAAGCCATATAGGGCTTTATAGGTCAATACCAGCACTTCACAGAAGGAAGTTTGGGGTTATAACATGCCTCTTTGTAAGAAAAGGGCAACAACTGATGGTGTGTCTAGACCAGGAACCTACCCACGTTTCTGCCTAGTTCTGAAAGGGTTAATGCTGTGTTGTCTCCATCTAATCCTCTCATCTGTCTCTGATGAACACTGTGTTTTCTTCATGTGTAACCTTCCTACAATTAATGTTAGACAAATTCACACTTTGCTTTACTGTATACCATCCTTCCTTCATTGCAGCATCATAGCTCTCTTTCCACCCTCATGTTGTCCTCACAACGGCTCTGTCAGGTGGATTAGTCTGAGAAGGACTAACCCAAAGTTTTTCTTGGGTTTGATGCTGGAGAGAAGATTTAACCCTGGGTCTTCCTGATATACAGCAGGGAGAAAAGGTTCTCCTGGCTGCATCCACACTGCAGAAATAATGCAAGTTGACATCACTTTAACTGCCACGGTTCAATGTTATGAAATCCTGGGAATTGTAGTTTTGTGAGACATTTAGGCTTCTCTGTCAGAGAGCTCTGGTGCCACAACACATTACAATTCCCAGGATTCCATAGCATTGAGCCATAACTGTTAAAGTGGTGTCAAACTGGATTATTTCTGCAGTGCAGATGCAGCCTTATTTATATTAAACCACAGACAAGTCCTTGAATGCTGGAATGCATTTATTGTGAAATTCCAGCTGTCCTCAAACAGGACCTGCAAAAGGTTGTCAGCTGGTGTAGCAAAGCCTTGGGTTTTCTATAAAAATATGTGATTTATAGCCTCCAGTTTAAACTGGAAGTGGTCTATAGCAGCTTTGTAGTCAGCATTTGGGAACATGGGGGGAGATGGAGAGAGGGATGAGTACTAAAGCAGACAAAGGGCCTCTGCAGACAGTACAAAGCGCCATCTTGAAGGCAGGGGAGGGGAGGGGCAACCGCATGCCGGTCGCCTCAACCCCTCCCCAAGGACGCACGGCACACGCCCTGAACATGTCCTCCAGGCGCAGTGTCTTCACGTGCTGCGCAGGAAGAGATGCAGAAGAGCCACATGTCAGCTCTTCTGGCGCCCTTTTTGCCGCTTGAGAAAGGAGCAGCATTTTTGGCGCTCCTTTCCTAGGTGCCGAAAGGGTGGATTGGGGCCGAGACATGGGGTAGCCTCAGCCCCGATCCTCCGTTTCCCGGGTCAGCAAAAATGGCTGCAAAGCCCCTAAAGTGGAGTAGGAGACCTTCAAGAAATACAGAAGAGGAGAGTGACTAAAAATAAGTTGTTGAAGTTATTTAATTATTTAAT